CAATTTTGTAAATGGAAATACAAATGTCAATATAAATAAATAAATAAAATTAGAAAAATAAAATAACCAGTTATAGGTCACCTTGGTTCATTAAAAGAAAATATATCTAAAGATTGGATTGTTTAAGAATAATTGAAAGGTAAGATTATTTTTTTTTAGAAAAAAGGTAAGATTATTTTGGGAGCCGGTTGAATTATTATTTATTCGTCTATAATATTTACTACTCCGTATTTAATTATCAAGTTAAAAAAATAATGGGAAATTCTCAGTGGTAATATCCAATTTATTTTTTTCTCTTTGGTAAAGGGCTTAAAAAGATTTTATCAACAGTAATCAACAATTAATTAAACTAAGCTAATGGTGACATGAGTTAAGTCATTGATTAATATATTAACCATGGTTTAGCTATTTAAATCAAAATTGAACATGAAATGACAAAACTACCCTTATTTATTTCCCCCCAACCAAATGTGTCTAATCTAACTTTAAGAATCAAGGGCTTCCCTTAAAACTTCCATCACCATTTTCTTGAACTTAGTTCTTCATATTCCACCAAAAATTGCGAATAAGTGTTGCTGAATTTCAGTTTTTTTGCGCGAAAATTGTTACATTGGCTATCAAAGATCAAAGCTTTCTGGAGAATTAGACGTTATTGACGTAGAATCGAGCAAGATCTGTGAGTTTTTTCGTGCTCTAGCCTCATATTTATGCTCTGTTTTTTTTTTTAGTTTTTTTTTGTATTTTGTCGCACCGTAGTGCTGTGTTTGTGTGGATTTTTATGTGAATGTTGGTTTGTTTGTGTAATTGTTGCAGAATGGATGATAAAATTGTATTGCAATTACAATATAGGGGTAAAGATGTTACCATTGTAGTTGATGATACTGATAAGGCAAATATGATTGACCTAATTGTTGAATATTGGGAAAAGGCAAAAGAATTGAATTTAGAAACACCCAAGAACCCCACTTTTAGATATGTGTTTAAGATGAAGCATGTTGAATTAAAGAGTGATGCAGATTTAATGAAAATGTTTGCTAATTTACCTGAGAAGAAGGAGATATATATTTGGATTGGGGATGGTTTAAAGGACACTGAGGTGGTGGCAGCTGCTAGGTCTTTGATGTTAGGTAAAGAACAAGCTGGTGTAACTTAGAGTCTTGTCCCTGAGAGTAGTAACAAACAGAAACTCACACCTAGGAAGATCATTGCTCCACTTGTTGAAGCTGAGGTTGTTAGTCAGGAAGAATGTGATACACATTTTAAGACTCTTAGTAGGGATACAACCCCAAGTAATGGCCCTGAAATTGAGTTCTTTTTACCCCCACACACAGACATAGATACAACTTGGTCAGATGTCATTGCTGATCAAGAGTTGACTGGGAGAGGGAGTTGTAGGGGGAGGTCAAGAGGTAGAGGGAGGGGAACTGGAAGAGGGAGAAGGAGAGGGAGATGGAGAGGTGTGGTTGAGGGAGGGGAACAGGGACAAGGAGAGGTTGGAGAGCATGCTGATAATGTAGGGATGCCAAGAGGGAGAGGGAGGGGAACTGGAAGAGGGAGGGGAACTGGAAGAGGTAGAGGGAGAGGGAATGCTTTATAAAACTGGTTTAGGATTTCCCCAACCCCATGGCAGCCTGAGGAGCCTATTTCTGTACAAATGCCTACCTCTGAGCTTGAATCTAACCACCAAGCTCAATTTAGCAACCAACAAACTCAACCTCAACCATCAACCCAGTCTGTTGTACCTCCTATGGTAAATGTTGGGGAGCATGGAGTTGGGCAAACATCAAATTCATCAAAATCTGACATGGGGTCAGTTTTCTTTAGGAGGCAAAGAGTGCCTAGGACTACAGCAAAGAGGAAAGACATTGTAATCAGTTCCAGTACAAGTGGAGGTGACAGTGACCAGCATATTCAATCTGGGGTAGGCAGTAAGGCCTTAAGTGTGTCAGGTGGATTAAATAGGAGTGATAGCTTGTCTGTACATGATGAGCAGGATGCTGATGAAGCTAATGAGCAAGAAGATAGGGCCTATGAGGCATATGACAGTGATGATGATACAGTTGAGAGTGTGGACACAGAAGAGCAATTATCTGAAGATGAATATGGTCCAAAGATTGAAGATTCATGGGATCCTTTTGAGGAACATATCTTTGAGTGTGACAAAGATGAGGACAACTACTTAGAAAAGCTGTACAATAATGGAGAAGTCTTCAAAGATGAAGGTTTTGGGAGAATTGTTCTGAAAGAGTGGCAACTCTTCACTGACAAACAACATCTAAGAGATGTTGTTAGAGACTATTGCATTCAATGTGGTTTTGCAGTTATTGTGGATTATGCCAGCAACACTAGGTACTCTGTGAGGTTCTTAGATGCTCATTGTGAATGGAGATTGCATGGATCAATTCTGCCTGATGGTATTACTTGGGCAATCAAGCTAATTCAGAACTCTGAACACACATGTCAAGGATTAGGATCCAGGAACAGCATGGTGAATGTGAAGTGGGCAAAAAGGGTTCTTCTTGATGATATTAGGGCACACAATGACATTCCTGCTAAGTCATTGAATCACTTGTTATGGCAAAGGTATGGGGTGGAAATGGCACTGTCTACCTTGTATAGGGTAAGAAATAAGGCTTTGAATGAAATTCATGGGGGTCATGATGAGTCATACACCCTGTTGCCTAGGTACTGTGATGTACTTAAAAGCTTGAACCCAGACTCAATAGCTCACCCTGTTTGAAATCCTCCAAATCACCCAGAGAGCCCTTTAGCATTTAGTAGTATCTTTATTTGCTTCAAAGCTGCTCTAGATGGCTTAATTAATGGTTGCAGAAGCCTAATAGGTGTTGATGGAGCCCACCTTAAAGGGAATTATGGGGGTTGTTTACTGTCACCTGTTGCATTGGATGCCAATAATGAAATTTTTCCAGTGGCCTGGGCTATTGTTAGAGGGGAGAACAGTGAGACCTGGAAATTCTTTATTTAGAACTTGAAGAATGCATTAAAGGACAGTGGCAGAGGTGATAAGTGGTGTATCATGTCTGACAGACATAAGGTAACCTTTCACAGCTTTTTTTTTTGTATTTTTTTTTAACTATTTTGATAAGTTTCACAAACTAATATGTCCTGCTAATTGTTTGTAAAGGGCATAGATGTGGCAATCACTGAGTTGTGGCCTAAAGTGGGAAGGAGATATTGCTGCAAACATCTTGTGAAGAAGTTTAAACCTCAGTTCCCAGGCTTGCTTATGTTCTAACTTTTCTGGAAGGCAGCTGGAGCTTATAACCCTTTCACATTCAGAAAGGCAATGGAAGCTCTGAAAAAAGCTAATCCTTTAGCTGTGGAATGGCTGTCAAAATTAGGTCCATAATCTGTCTGGTCCAAGCATGCCTTCAACCCTGCTATCAAATCTGATGTGAATAAGTCTAAATTTGTAGAAAGTTTCAATGCCACATTGGGCATTGATAGATGCAGACATGTGCTTACTTTGCTTGAAGGTAATGTCCTTAACTTAAGATGCTAATTGTTATTATGTACACACATCAGCACACTGTTAACATGTATGGTTGTTTTATGATGCAGGTGTTAGAAGACTTACAATGGTGAGAATGGCAACAAGAAAAGAGCAATGTGAGAGCTGGAGAGATGATCTCTATCCAAATATTATCAAGAGACTTCAGGTTATTAGCAAAGAGTCTAGATCTTGCAAATGCTTGTTGTCTGGAGATGGTGAGTTTGAAGTATTAGATGGGAAATCTGTTCTTCCAGTGAACTTAAGGGAGAAGACCTGTGCTTGTAATGCATGGCAGATATCTGGTTTGCCATGTAAACATGCAATGAGGGCCATTTATCACTCCAATGATGATCCTCACAAGTATGTGAGTGAATGGTACTTAGTTAGGAGATACAAGCTCACTTACAAGAACAATATCAAGGCCATCCCTGATGTAGACCAGTGGCCAGATAACACCTACCCAGACATTCAGCCCCCACCTATGCAAAGAGGTATTGGGAGGCCAGCAAGAAATAGGAGGAGGGAGGAAGGTGAGCAAGCAAAAGGGAAAAGATCTAAGACTATTAGATGCAGCAACTTTGGTCATAACAAGGTCACATGCCAAGGAGGATTAACTGGTAAAGAGAAAGCAAGCATGGCAGCAGAGCAGCAACAGACTAAGCCCAAGAAAGGTGTTTCAATGTCTCAACCAGACCCAGCTTCAACATCACAGCAAACAAGAACTTCTAAGAGGGCCAGGAAGGGTGTTTCTGCCTCCCAACCAACTTGATCATCAGAACAACATTATTTTGGAACTTATTTAGTGTTACTAGCTCATGTCAGTAGAAATTAAACAATGATGTTAATTTAGTGTCATCAGGACAAGTCTTTTGGAACTAAATTATTGTGTTATTTGAACTGCACCCTTTTGTGACATGATGTGAATGTGTTTAGACAGTTTTTGTGTCCTGATTTATATAAATCATGATTTTTTTGGTGCTTAATTTGTGAACTTGACTGAGTATTTATGGCAACATCAATTGAAAGCATTTCATAAAAATTTGGTAATTTTATTCATCTTCAAAGATCATTGCTTACATTCATAAGGCATAAAGCCAAGTACAAACATCACTTAACTAATTCTTACTAACAACAAACAACAACACAAAATACAGAAGAATGAGTGCCATTTTATCAATTTTGATAAAATTGACTAATTCGACTACTTTTTCCTTCACATCTGCATTTGGACCTTGTTCAACTTCCAATTCCTCGCTAACCCTGAGTAATTCGACCACTTTATCCTCTTCCCTAAGCATGACAACCAGTTTAGGCGGAGCACAATTGCAGGAAACATGCTTCACCCAAGCAATTCTTGTCGTCCAAAGATATATGCCGCAATGATACAGACAAAAATTCAGACCTAGCCATGAAAACAGAGAGAGAGAGGGTGAATAGAGAAATTCAGAGGTTGAAGATGAAACAGGGATGAAATTAGGGTTTTAAAAAGGGGGAAATCGAAAGGAGGGAAAAAAGGGGGAAATCGAAAAGAGGGAAAATCGAAAGGGTATTAGTGTAAAACATGACAATTTAACCAAGATTAACCATAGTTAGTCTTTTAAATGAATTAAAGTATCAATTCTGTCACCATTAGCTTAGCTTAATTAATTGTTGATTACTGTTGATAAAATTTTTTTAAGCCCTTTACCAAAGAGAAAAAAAATAAATTGGATGTTACCACTGATAATTTCCCAAAAATAATTTAAATAAGCAAAACAAATGCCCTTGAATCTCGACTCCTTTAACTGAGTTGTGGAAGAATCTGGAGTAGTACTGGTAGTCATAGCAGTAGTCGAGAATGCGGAACGTAAGAGCAATGCAAACAGTACTCAAGAATCGGGAAGCCGCCAAAGCCAAAGTCTTCGATTTACTCAAAATCTTGCAGTCTGAAATCACTCACGAACTCTCTTCTCCCTGCTTTCAAGTATTTCTTCCTCTCTCGTTCCTCAATTTTTCTTGATTTTTCTTTTTAGATTATGCAATTTCTGTAATGTGCCTCTTTCATTGGCAATTTGTGAACTGATTTTAGGGTTGTTAGTTATTGATGTATACTATACTTGAATTTTGATTGTTTTTTTTTGAGTAATTTATGGGTTTTCTGCCAATTTGTGATTGGAATTGTGTTAAAGTTTCGAAATTTTGAAACCCTTTTATTTATTTCGAGTATTTTTCATTTTTTCCGTATTCTTTGTAGCAAGGCAATGACCATTAGCTTAGGATAAAAGCCAGTGCTTTGTTAAGTTGTTGAAGAGTCTAAAACATTGAAAATCCGAAAGTTGTTTGGTTGGCAAAAACACGGTGCGAAGCTGCTTATGTAGCCCCTAAACTTTGATTGAGAAATTCGGCTTATAGGGATAAATAGATCATACCCTGTAGACATTATTTTTAAGGATGAATCCTATAACATGTTCCATACACTCTCTTCGTGTTGGAATAATAAGCTACATGTGAGAGTATTTGATTGATGGTTGATGTATAAGAAATTGTGATATAATACCAGAACTACGATAAAAAGTACTCAGTACTTAGCAGTTAAGGTATCAATCGGTGTGATTGAGAAGTTCGTGAATTAAATTACTGAAATTAGAGAGTAATTTATCTTGTTTTGTGACAACTGAATATAGAGACATGGTCTCTTATTGAGGACAGGGGAGTATTCGTTATGAAATGTTGGACTTACAAGATTATACAAGGTATAATTACAAAAATGAGAAATCATGCCAAGATGGAAGCCGTTTGTTGTTGTCCTCTATGATTTAGTTGTCAACTCAGGTTAGAAAAACATACCAAGATGGGTCCACTGTGGCACCGTCCAGTCATCCACCCACCAATTTAGGAGTGATGATTGTTGAAGTTATAGAACCCTCGAGAGGGATAGCATGAAAAAGATGTAACATCAAAGTCAAACGCCTTTGAGACTGCTTGATTTGCACTCTAACTCTAGGGAAAACTATTGTCTATCAGTGTCTTATTTTAAGGTGGAGAAAAATGCTTATTGGGAATGTGAATTTGATACAGCCGCTTAATTGCTAGACTCATGGCTTTAGTACCATTTAAGGGAAGAACTTTAATGGGAATTTAAAATGTACTTCAGCTGTGTGTTTTGCTACTTGCAGAGTTTACTGTGAGAAGCTTACTACAACTTGCTTATGCATAGAATGCTTGAAATTTTTTGATAGGTAACATCTACAAAGGCAAATAGCCAAATATTATTCACGGTACAATAGGATAAATATCAGTTAGTTCCAACCTTTTAATTTTTGGACATGGTCATCTTTAAGTGTTATATCTGTTGAGGAAAAGGGATCCTGTAGATAACTTGATATGAGCAAAGCAATTTCAGACTTTAGTTTTTGAGAGAAAAAGAGAAAAAGAGGGGGGGGGGGTTTAAATGCTTTGAGAATTCTGCTTAGCTGTGGACCTAATCGATCTGCACCCTTTGTTTCAGTAGCAATGCATTGTGGCCTTGCCTACCTAAGTCCTAGACTCCTAGTTAATGTTTGTGCTAAGAGGTAAGTAGTGCGTGTTAAGTCTTTGTTTGTGCACATAATCTTGGTTGTGCAATGAAAACCCCGGCCTACTACCATTGGTTTGAAAGGGGAAGTCCAGATGTGATTCATTGTTATAGTTGAAATTTACCAGGAAATTCGAATATAAAATGTCTCTTACTAGAAGAGAGAAAGGAGAGTGAGAGAAGGGTATTATATCTTGTATACATATTGTTTAGTAATCCTTAAATGGTTTGTGCTTTGGGTTGCAAACCTGTGGAGAAAAAGTGAAGTAAATGGTTTCTGTATTGGGTTGCTTATAGTAAGCTATATTACTATATATACAGAGTTGTTTATGCTGAATGAACTAGTCTTTTGCTTCTCTGGAGTACATGTTATCATTAAGAATTTTCTCTGGCTTCTATTTGACATGCTTATTCGAGTACAAACGGATTATATTTATATGCAATTCACATGGGGCTATCTTTCAGCAATTCATCAAAAACTCAATTAATTTCTGGAAGTGCCAGAGACCAAAGCTCGGCTTGAAGAGCTTGCTCTTTCCTGTCTTTCTTTCTTTCTTTTTTTTTTCCTAGACTCCTATTGCTTTAGTTGATAACTTGATACCATGCTGCTTTGATGCCTGACCTTATAACTTATTCCTGGAACAGAATTATCAAGCTGGTTCCCCAGGAGATTTCACAGTGGAATGGGATACTTCAAATTCTAATGATGTAGTATTGCGAAAGAAATGTGATACTGGCGAAGATGTTGCTGTTTCGGCTTTACTTGGTCCACCAGATTATGCAAGAGATGGTACATACCCAAGGGGTGTTCTTATGAAAGTGTGCATAAAAAAGCCTGGCTTAAGTTCACTTCTCCACTTCAAGTGCGAAGTTACCAATACAGGTCATTCTGGCCCAGAATTTAATATCCATTCTGCAGATTATCTAAGATCAACAAGCTCTACAGGTCCTAAAAATTACAAGGCCCCCTCGTTTAGGTAAATCTATGTTGTCATTGTGATTAACAAGCTCTTTTAGTCAGTTTATTCAAAATTATAGGATTGCATGTTAATTGTTAATCTCTAAATTAAATTCACAATTTTCATTTTGGAGTGTCCAGGGAATTTTTTACATCTCTATCCCATCAATCTTTTTATCTATCCCTCAGTATTCTCTCTTATTTTCTGTTTACATAAATTCAGTTCTTCATTCAACATTTAACAACTTTTTGATCTCCATGTCAACCCCAATAAATAAAGTTAAATATTGGACTGAGGTAGTAATAATTTGCTTACAAACATTCTTATTTCCTTGTATCCGCCCCATTTCTTTGCCATTTTGGATTAGTCACTTTTGACCTTCAGGGAGGGTTGATCAGTGGGATTGGTTGAATGACCTAATGTAATGGTCATCAATTATTCATCATGCTTGATTTCCAATGTGCAGCATTTTTCTAGTCCGTGTTATACTTCGTTTCATCTAGTTATATTCTTCTTTGTTTATGATGTAAAAGACACTGACTTTTTATCTTCTTCCCTAGTTTGTATTTGTCATTCCTTAATATTGCAGAATTAGAGCCTTGTTCCGGACAGTATATAGATATCCTCTGACTTGTACAGTGGATTCCACTTACTGTATTAAATTGCAGCTTCGAGCCTTGTTTATTGCCTTCTTTAAAACCATTTTTCAACCCTCCTTCCATGCTTTTGAGGATGAACATCAACACCATACTGTTATAAAGTCTTGATAGAGGCGTAAGCAAATAGATGCAACTGTTCCTAATGTTGAAGTTGTAACAGTTCCTAATGTTGAAATTGTTGGGGGGGGGGGGAATATTTTGTTGACCAAGCACCATAAAAGTTTAGTATTTGATCTAATGTTAATTATCTTTTATTCAGTACATTTACAGTGAAATTGACCCTCGTTTATCCATGAGAAGAAGATTTCCTGTTCAATGTTTATATTCTGATATCCATTTATGGTTCTACTTCTTCAGTGAATTAGACTCAGATCTTCAAGATGCATTCAGAGACTATTTACAGACGAAGGGCATTGGAGAAAGCTTGATGAACTTCCTTTTAGTACACATGCACAAAAAGGAGGAAAATCAGTATGTTAACTGGCTGCAGAAGCTTCAAGGATTGTTATCTCAAGGTGATTGATCGTAAGTTACGGAGAGAATGATCTTGACATTCTTGTCTCAGATGTTAGCATGAAATTTTATGTATATATAAACACGGCAAGGTTATTTTTGGCTACCTGGTTAGACATTGTGATCTAGTCCTTGCTTTATTGTAAGATAGCATGATTTAGCTGTCATGTTGTTCTTATGAAGCTTCATAGAAAACTGACTTACCGAGAATTATTCAATTCTGAGCACGTTGGATTTCATCAGGATTCAGGAGGAACTTTCCTACATTTATGGTAGTCGTTCACATTATTTTTTGAATTGGCACATTGAAGACCTTCCATACCCGAGCTGGCGCAAGGCGGTCTTAACCATCCACGATTATACAATTGACCGAATTATAAAAATCCTATAAATATTAAATAGGGGTGCCAAAAATGGCAAAAGAGAAAGAAAAAAAAAAAAGTTTAAAATGGACAGTTGCAGAATACTTTCTTTTTGGAATATATTAACGACGTCGTTAATTTGCTATGTTCCTTGGCTTTTCAACAAAAAATGTCATTAATATGCTATTCGCTAGATTTTCAACAAAATTTACTTTGATTTCATCTAATATAAAATTCTTCATCTGGGGTTTGAATTCAAAGTCAAACCATCGAGAATTGAATTAGAACTTTAGCTCTCTCCATTTTCTTTAATTTAGGGCTTGTTTTAGATTTACTAAAAACAACAAAATTGATTGAGAATCAGAGAATGAATTGAATCGAATTGAATTAATTGGAGTTGAACTAATTGAATAAAGTTGAAATGAATTGTTTGTTCAACTAAATAAAGCTGAAATGAATTGTTTGTTTAACTGAATACAGCTGAAATGAATTGTTTATGAGAGAAGAAAATTATGCACTGAACTTATTGGAGCTGAATTGAAATTAAGCTGAACAAATCGTGCCCTCACTCCTTTTTTTTTTTTTTTTTTTTTTTTTTTTTTTTTGGAAAAAATATATGGTTTTATGATTTAAATTTTTTTTTTCTCTTGTTTGGATCAATTACACTCCTTATAATTTTTTTTTTAAATTTTTTTTTTGAACATCTCACTTATTTAAAAAATAGAATAAAATTTGGGAAAATAATACTCCGTAACTTTCTTTGTATCGTATTTAGAAAGGGACTTGTTAAACATCGCCCGCGTTTTTCTACATAAAGCCCACATTTTTTAAAAATTTTGACATTATTGCCCTTGTTTTAATTTTTACCGAAATTGAAAATTTTCACTCACCAAAAATGTGGAGCAGGACTGGATCGCCGAGTGAAACCGAAGAGCCCTCAACGTCGGCTAGATGCACCGGAGAGACGCCGTTGACGCCGGAAAAGGAGGTACGAAGCCATCTAAAACCACGAATTGGCGGCTGGCGTCCTGCCGGGACGCCGTGACCGTAGTGGTGGCGCCTAGCCAGGACGCTGCCTCCGTAGGTAAGGCGCCTGGCCAGGACGCCGCCACCGTGGCCGTAGCGTCTGGCCAAGACGCCGCCACCATGAAAGCGGCGTCCTGGCCAGGCGCCATCGCCACGGTGGCGGCGTCCTGGCTAGACGCCACCGCCACAGTAGCGGCGTCCTGGCTAGGCGCCACTGCATTTTTTTTTTTTTTTTTTTTAATTTAATTTAAAAATTGTTTATTTTTTATTTTTTTTTTGTGTTACAATTTTTTTTCGTTTTTTTTTGTTTTTTTTTGTTTTGTTTTTAATTGTTTTAAAATGTAATGTAAAATTTTGTGTTTGATTTTTGTGTTTTTGATCGCTATGTTTTTTATGTTTATGTTTTTTTTTTTGTTTTTTTTTTTTTGGTTTTTTTTTTTTATTTAATCTAAAGTTTTGTTTATGTTTTTTATTTTTGTGTTTTGTTTTTTTTTTTTTTTTGAATACTTTTTGTTTATGTTTTTTATTTCTTTGTTTGTTGTTTATACTCGTATATCCACGTCTGTAACAACGTCATACATCCAGTGATACCTGCCGCATCAGCCCGGCTCGAAAATCCTAACTGGCGATACATGTACGCTAATGTAGCCGACCCCCAAGAAAACTGGCCTACTCTGTCGGGCTCACACGCGTCAACTATGTCGCGTGGCCTGAGCTTGTTTCCGCTCTTATCCGGAAACAAGGTACACCCGAGAAGAAGAAAAACATATGCAGCCAGCTGTGTGTCCTGCGTCCTACGTGAAGTGGGGTGCAAACATCGCTGCAAAACTGCTGCGATCTTAACACCGCCGTGATCCCACACACCAAGTGCCGCTGTGTACAGCGCAGCCCTATCCACCGCCAACAGCTCCGCCAATAAATCTGCCTGATCCGCATCTGTGACAACAGATGCTCGGTTTCCCTCTACGGGAATCCCAAGGATGGCCTCGACGTCATGCAACATGATCGTCATCTCACCGAACGGAAGGTGGAAAGAGTTCGTGTCCGGCTGCCATCGCTCAACGAAAGCCGTGATCAGCGTCGAGTCAATCCTCTCATGCATGGTGGCAGGAAGGTGGCTCACTCTAGTGCCCCTCAATCGGCCGACCATCTCGCTCTCCTCCGGCCAAGCCTCAGCCCAACTACACAAGAAGTTACAAGTCCTCTCCCGGGTTTGGCATTTCAAAATGCCGCTATCCAAAGCCCGCTCCTGGTCCTCCCAAATACGGGTAGCGATGTGTCCTAGAAAGCTAGGAATCACACTCCCGTCTATAGGTCCCCCGGCCACCTCACCCCTCACCATCCAAGAATCATTAACGGCCCTCGACCGTTTTCTGCTACCCACAGACACAGTGGACGCAGATGATGTGCCAGATCTACTAACAAACCTACCATCTCGACCCTTACGCACATCTACCCTATGCGTCTCATACGTATCATCAAGCCTCTGACTGAATGGACCGTAATCATCATATGGTCCACTCTGATCGTCGACATCCTCATCTGCATCATCCTCGTCCTCGACCTCCTCCTCCTCCTCCTCCTCCTCCTCCTCATCATCATCATCATCTTGATCATCCGCAGAACAGTGCACCCGTTCTCTGCGGGCCGAGGCCGAAATACCACGGGATCTAACGTGTCTGGGCCCCGAGCTCTCCATTGAGTAGATCGTACTCCTCACGACGTCAATACTCTTCCCCACACCAGGTCCAAATTGCGATGCCTAACTCCAAGTAAATAACGAAACATAATAACGAAAACAAATTAAAAAAAAGTCGAAAATAAACACAAAAGCAAATAAACAAGTTACGGAAATAAAATTATAAACATAAAAAATATAAATATAAACAAGACAATATACATATAAACATAAGAAATATAAACATAAACATATACCAAAAACAAAAAATATAACCAAAAACAAAAAATATAAACTACAAACAAAAAAAAAAACAAACATAAACAAAAACAAAAAATATTACCAAAAACAAAAAATATAAATACAAAAAAGGACGAAAATAAACACAAAAGCAAATAAACAAGTAACGGAAATAAAATTATAAACATAAAAAATAAAAACATAAACAACACAATATAAATAAAAACATAAAAAATATAAATATAAACATAAAAAAATATAAATATGAACATAAAAAAATATAAATATGAACAAAACAATATACCAAAAACAAAATATATAACCAAAAACAAAAAATATAAACAACAAACTAAAAAATGAAAAACATAAACAAAAACAAAAAATCAAAAATGCAAAGAAAAACCAAAAACAAAAAACTAACAAAACTTAAAAAATTTAAAATTGCAAAAACTTAAAAAAAGAAGAACATCAAAATTTTAAAGAAAATTTATAAAAAAAAAAGGGAACTTATAATTTTTTTACATACAAAAATATAATTCAAAAAAAAAAAAAAACAATACATAGGAACATAAAATTAAAAATTAAAACCAGAAACAATTTTTTTTTTTTAAAAAAATAGAACATAAAATTAAAACAAATAAAAAAACAAAATTTAAAAAAAAAAAGGGAACATACAATTTAAAAAAAAGAAAAACAAATTTTTTAAAAAAAAAAAAAAAATTCGAAAATAAAATTTAAAATTAAAAAAAAAAAAAAAAAAAATTAAAAAAAAAAAAAAAGGAGGAGGCGCCTAGGCAAGACGCCTGTACGGTGGTGGCGGCGCCTATCCCAGACGCCACCACCACGGCTGTGGCGCCTAGCCTATCCGCCGCCGCCGTGGTAGTGGCGTCTGGGCTAGGCGCCGCCTCCACCGTACGGGCGTCCTGCCTAGGCGCCTCCTCCGTGGTGGTGGCGTCTCGCCTTGGCGCCCCACCGTCGCCGGAGGTTTTTTTTTAAAAAAAAAATTACAAAAATTACCTTCTCGCCGGCAAACCGCCTTCCGCCCACCGCCGGAGCCGCCACTTCCTTGCCGGGCCGCCTCGACATAGCTCGGGAAATAATTTAGAGAGAGAAAGTGGAAGTAGAGAGTAGAGAGAGAAATTGTGTTTTTTAGTTTGAGGGCAAAAGTGTCATTTCACTCTTATTTTGTGGGCTTTATGTAGGAATTTGCGGGCGATGTTTAACAGTTCACATTTAGAAAGGGGATTCACCACTTTAATTCTCATAAACAATTCTTTTTACATATCAATTTCAATTTTTACCTTTTTTTTTATAAAAAATATTAGATTATTTCAATTTTACAATATGAGACTAATCAAACACCATTTGTCCATTTCACACAACCCAACTAAAAAAAATTACAAATACTAAAGGGAATGATAATTTAATTTAGGAAAATGCTATACATAGCCATTAGGGCTACATATAAGCATTAAATCCACACTTAAAAATCGTAAAAAGTTCAAAAATCATAAAAATATAAACACTAATTACATTGATTTACGCGTATTTTTGTCGTGAATTTCTAATTTTATACAATTTCCAAGAGTATTTTTAATGCTTATATATAGCCCTTAAGGCTACATATGACATTACCCTTTAATTTAAATTGAGGTCCCTCTCATATAATATTGACATACATGTCTTAGAAGTACTCATCAAAATCTAACATTCAAAATAAAATCAATTTTCAAAAATAGATTCCCTCTTTTATTTTTTAAATTAAATATTAATATTAATTTTAACGTGGGTGCGAATAAGTGGATATATACGAACTTACGAAGTAATAAAAGTGCAAGTACCAAATCGGTTCATTTTCCCATTATTTATCCCTATTTCTAGTCCTTAAAACACAACCTTTCTTTTGTTTGCAACCCCCCAATGGTGAACTTGTACTACTAGTA